AAGATACAAGTCCCAACCGTCGATGTGCTCACCGATCGATTAAATCGCATCGATGAGCGGGTTTCAGTTGCCGTGGGAACTGTCGACGGTCAGGCAATTGCATCGCTTTGCGCCTGGCCCAGCCGGACGGCAGAGTCAATTTTGCTGCGTGGAAGCCATACAGAAGGGTCCAGGGGCATCGTGCCCCGAAACATAGTCGCACGGTGCTTCAAAATCGAACCACTTAGATCCCAGAAGCCATTTTGGCTTGATCTCGTTCCCCTTGCGGGCACCATAACCGAGGCGATGCGCAATGAACCGGGCAATCCAATGACACACGCAGGCAACAACCGTCAGATCGAGCGGGGAGACGGACAAACACATGTCGTCACCAGTCGGCGCGATGCTCAAAACATTGTTGCCCAATTCCTTCTTGAATACTTCGCCCCGCAGGGCGCAGCGACGAAGCTGGAAGAAGTTGTGACTCACCAGATGCCCCCTGGACTGATCGTAATCATTGACAGAATGTGGGATGAACCCTGCCAAAATGTGCCAGCGCATCAGCGATGGGGTAGAGTTATCCTGGCTATTCGTGAAATCATATTGTCATCTATGGCAGAAGGGCTTCATGTCGCCGCCCCTGGCCGAGAAGTACAGCGCCCTGCGGGCGCTTGAGATCCAAACTCTGCTCAAAGGTTGACTGGCGCTTTTGCGCTGGACATCCGCATCAGCTTGGCGATTCAATCGTCAGACGCGTTGGAGAAGTGGACTGAATGTCTGGGCAATGAAGTCCGTCGTGAAATTCGGCGCCGTTGTGGCAACATTAAATTTGCTGTTGAGTTCATGGACTCCTTTGGTGGCGCTACATCGATGGCGAAAGCCCGGCTGGCCATTGGCCGTTATGGACACTTTGTTACGGGTGCAGCCATTGACATCATCAGACATATAATGAACAAACCTGAGACGGTCGGCTTAGCCGAACCGCCCACTGCGGCCCCTAGCGACTCAGTCGCTTCAGGGGCTGATATCGAGCCCTCTGGAGGCCCAGTAACCCCAATAACAGGTACTGATGCTCCTGGCGGCTCCGCCGTTTCGGAGCAGAAAGCAACAGCCCCTGGCGGTCATGCCGAGTCAGCGGGCAGCGCCGAAATTGCGTCTGTCTTCAATGCACCGCAGGCGCCGGACGATACGAGAACTGGCGAAGGTGAACGGAGGCCGACGACACTTCCGAAACGTCCTACGCATTCCTCAGAGGCCGCTTGGCCTGGGTGGCAGGATAGGCGCACTTACAGGCGCAGCCCTAACCCAAGGTCCACCAGCTCAGCCGCGTCGGACGCCGATCCCAACCGCGACAACATATCGCTTGAGTTTCCCACAGGATGGAACGAGTGGAGTCGGCCATTTGCGTGGGCTGATGAGCCCGTAGATGATGTAGACGGCCGCGCGCGCGATGGCGGCTGGGGCCCTTTGCGGGACTACGCCGACAAGGGCGACAGCGACCACGTCATCGGATACTGGGTTCATGCCGATCGTCACCGACAAATAACTACGAGCACATCGACGTGACATTGGTTCACCGTGGAGGCATGCAACCAAAATTTTACGTGTGAGCCCGAAGATGAATCATGGGGAGATTAATGGACGTCCCGCCGATCGGCCTGGACGCATGGGACCGGGCAAGTACCTGCGGGGAGTTCCGTCCCAGATGCGCAAGCTCGAGAGGCACTGAGAACGGCTATTGCGCCCCTGCCTACGCCGCCGCCGCCCACGCCCAAGGCGAGGCCGGCCGACAAGGGCAAGAACAAGGGCCAGAGCACTGAATGCGGCCATGGAAAAGGCAGAGACCACCATGGACAACACCAACAAGATCAACCTTTATGGAGCTGGCGGTCTGGCCGAGATTGGAGTCGTCAGCAACGCCAAGAAGATGGTTGGTGGAGATAATTCACTCCAGATGAACTGGTACGACTCCGTCGGCATCAGGACCACGTTGCTCGGCTTCGCCGACGCGACGTCGGTGCAACAGGCGCGGGAGACCTTCAAGGAATGAGCTGGCATTGGCTATTGCTCGGGCGGGGTGCGTCGGGTTGCTTCGGCCCGGCGCTCCTCTGCAACCATGGCTGCGCCGTAAAAGCTTTTTGGGGTTGGCTCCCGTGGGTGTGCATATGTAGAGGCCGAGTGGGTGTAGGTCGACGCGGCCATCCTCGCCCCGCCGCGGGGGGAGTTCGTGCGCTTCTCTCCGCGCCGCCATCCTGTTCGCCATCATTGCCGTTGTGCTGATTCGGCGGGCCCCCGTGAGCTTTCCTCGCGGAATCTGCCTTCGAGGGCCCAGGAGATTACATGGGGACATATTGCGGGGATAATCAAAATCTAAGCAAAAAGCTACGGGAGCTGCCGCTGCGGTTGCCGCCGACGTTGGCGCCGCCCTTGGGTGCGCAGGAGTCGCTTGCGCGGGGGCCGCTGTGCGCGGGGGCCGCGTGCGCGGGGGCCACCGCCGCTGGAATCGCCTCCGTGAGAGTCGCCGCCGTTGAAGCCGCCTCTGCGGGGGCCGCCGCCTCAGGAACCGCCGCGGGGGCCGCCGCCTTGGAAACCGCCTCCGCGGGGGCCGCGGCCGTGGGAACCGTCGCGGGAGCCGCGGCCGTGGGAGTCGCCGTGGGAGCCGCCGCCGTCGGGGCCGCCTCTGTGGGAACCGCAGCCGTTGGAGCTGCCGCTGTGGGAATCGTTTTGCGTGGAAGCTACCGTCGTGGGGGCCGCCGCCGCGGGGTCTGCCGCCACGGTGGCCATGGCGGTAGCCAGGGGGGCCCGCCTCGAGGGATCGCCGCGGCGGGGGCCGCCGATGCGGGGGCCGCGGGAACCGCCGCCATGGGGCGCCGCGGGGGCCGGAACCGCCTTGGCGGGGGCCGCCGCTGTGAGAACAGCTTCCGAGGGAACTGCCGCTTTGGGGGCCGCCGTCGTGGGGGCCGCAGCCGCGGGGGCCGCAGTCGCGGGGGCCGCCTCCTAGGTGGCGTAGCAGGCTCCTCGGGGGCCGCATCCTGGGGAATAACCGCGGGGGCCGCCGCCGTGAGAGCCGCCGCCGTGGGGGCCGTTTCCGTTGGAATAGCCGCTTGAGGTGGGCCGCCCAGCGCTGCAAGCATGAGCCGCCACGAGCGGGGCCGAAGTTGAACATCACGTACGAGCCGACGGGGAAAGGACTTAATGGCACCAGATGGATTGGCCGAGCCCATAGGCTGCCTGGCGCCGATGCCGCCAGCGCACGACGGACACCTGGCGCCTGAGGAGAACATGTAGGCGGTCGTGAGCGCGAGCGTGAGCTGCTGCACCGCCGTTGCCAGAAACCTGGGTCTGGTGCAGGAAGATGATGATTTATGGCCGCGTGGGCGTCGAAGGACAGTCTTCGTCTGGGTGGGCACTGGCGGGGAGCCGACCGCGTCGGTGTGCAGTGCCACCATGGACCTCGCAGTGCATTTCGGCGAGTGTTGCTCCCCCCGCCGCGCGCTGCAGCACCTGCGAGTGAGACATGAGCGCCCGGCCCCAGGCGCTTTTGTCCCAGAGAAACCGAAGGGACGATGGCACATGGGCGCCATCGCCCAGATGAGGGAACCACCGCCTGAGGGAGCCACCTGGTCGAGCGCCTTCTGGTCGCCGTGCAGTTCGTCCATGATCGCTTTGCGCTTCGCCGGTGTAGGATTCTGTGGGCACCCGAAATGGGTACGGAAAGAATGGGCACAATGCCCAACAGCAGTTCCTGTTCATTTTGAACAGGGTTCGCTGTTCACGCCGCCGCGGCCTTTGTCCATTCGAGACAGAAGGGCGCCTGCCCAACAGCGGCCGCTGTTGGTTTGGGACAACATTTGTTGTTGGGCATTGTACCCATTTTTTCCGTACCCATTTCGGGCGTCCAAGGGATTCGCCGCGCGTGGGAGACGCCTGCGCAGGAACCGCCGCGTGGAGACCGCCGCAGTCGGAACCGCCCCTGGGTGCGCAGAAGCCGCCTGCGTGGGGGCCGCCGGGCGCAGGAGCCGCACGCGCACGAGCCGCCGCCTGTGGGGGTCGCCCCCGTGGGAGCTGCCGCGGGGGCCGCCGCGGGGGCCGTTTCCAGGGGAGTCTCCGCCTGAAGTGGACCGCCCAATACCGCAAGCAGGAACCGCCACGGGCGGGGCCGAAGTTGAACTTCGCACACAAACCGAAGGGGGAGAGGACTTAGTGGTATTAGATGGCTAGTCATAGAATGCCTGGCGCCGGTGCCGCCAGCGCACGACGGACACCAGGCGCCCGAGGGGAACATGTAGGTGGACGTGTCGCGAGCGTGAGCTGCTGCACCGCCGTTGCCAGAAACCTGGATCAGGTGCACGAAGATGATGATGTATGGTTGCGCGGTGTCGAAGGACAATCTTCGTCTCGGTGGGCACAGGCGGGGAGCCGACCACGCTGGCGTGTAGCACCAGTATGGAATGGACCTCGCACTGTACTGCGGCGAGTGCTGCTGGCCCCCGCCGCGTGCTGCAGCACCTGCGAGTGAGACAGGGCGTCCTGTCCCAGGCACTACAGGCCTGAATAAATCAAAACGATGGTGATGTTGCTGATGATGAGGATGATGACGACGATGGTGTTGATGATGACGGTGATGGTGATGATGGTGATGCTGACGATGCTGATGATGACAAAAAGATACTGGTGAAAAGGGTGCGCTTGCTGATGCAAACGGGGCTGGGGATGATGAGTGTAATGGGGACGATGATTATGCTGGTGGTAGTGATGGTGATGATGGTGACGTTGACGATGGTGACGACAATGATGATGTTGGTGACGATGATGGCGCGGAGGAGGAGGATGGTGATGATGATGGTGATGATGACAAAGGAGGAGGAAACAGGGGCAGAGGAGGAAAAACAAATAACGTGAGGAGGAACTCGCCTGTGCTTTTGTGGGCTTCCACGCTCTCCCCCGGGGCTGGGGCATTCCTGAAAACCGGGGGACTTTTGTTGTTTGGACCCGCGGGGTCGCGCGCGACCGCACCGCAGGATGCGCGGATAAGCTGCAGCTGTCGAAGGCCTTCGAGTGGCTCTCTCGGACGATCGTTCTGCTTGCCGCCTCCGCCGCAGAGCTCGTCGCCTCCGCGACGATGCAACAGGGCCCCACGTCGGAAGACATCGCGTGCGACCTCGAGAAGATCAGGAAACGCAGTTTTCCATTGTCCAGACCCCGCTTACAAATTCGATATCCCAGATGGCAGAAACGCAATTATATATCTCCAAGATTCCAGGCAGGTGCGCATGTACCACGGACAAGAGGCGGATTCAACATGGCCACGCGGTAATGCCTACGTACGAGAACGTTTGCGGCAGCGCGTCTTCGGATGTTTCCAGCTTGGTTGTGTTTTTTTCGTGAGGTCGCAGATCTCTGTGCGCTGTCGGGCGCTTCCACAGGTTTCAGAGGACGTCTGATAGGACGGAATCGAGAGGGGGAAGGAGAAGTGGAGGAGGCGGAGGTGAGGAGGAGAAGGAGGATGATATTTTCTATTTATATATACACATTTCCCAGTACAGGCTCCAGCCCAGGGTTCTCTTTGTGTCGGCGAGCCTTCGGCCTTGTACCAGAAGGGTGTCAAGCAGCAGGCGTCGGAATTTGACACGTAAGAATACGTGTTCGGAAGGGGGGGTCCCCAACATACGTCTCGGCGTGTATGCATTCGGCACGTGTTTTCGCGTTTTTTCTCGCAGAGGGGACCCACTTTCTAGTCGTCGGTTTTTCCACGTGTAAAAATGAATGCGCCGAGGTGGGACACAACATGCGCCTGGCGCGTGTGCGCGGGGCACGTAGTGTCACGTGTCCACGGCCCCCCAAAGGGGGGACCCGCTTTCTAGACGGCGGATTCTTTACACGTAAAAAAGTCGTACGCGGAAGGAGGGGACGGGGACCCAACATGCGCCTGGCGCGTTCGCGTGGGGCATGTGTTTTCACGTGTCCACGGCCCCCAGGGGGGGGGGTTACCCAGTCTCTAGTCGTCGGAGTCTTTACGAGTAAAAATGCGTGAGCGGAGGGGGGGGGACCCAACATGCGCCTGGCGACCGCGCCGGGCACGTGTTTTGTTGTATCCACGGCCCCCATGTGGGGAGCACGTGCGCGCGGGGCACATGTTCTCACGTGTCCACGGCCCCCAGGGGGGGAGGTCGGGAGAGCGAAGACGGGGAAATTAGGAGAGAGAGAGAGAGAGAGAGAGAGAAAGAGAGAGCGAGAGAGATGGGGGAAGTGGAGTAGGAGGAGGAGGGGGAGGGGGATGAGCTGGACGAGACAGGCGATGAGAAGGACAACACATGAGAGGAGGAAGGCGGACGGACGACAAAGAGGGACAGGGTGAGACGGACGAGCGACCAGCTGCTAATGCTGCTACTGCTGATGCTGATGCTGGTGCTGATGCTGATGCTGATGCTGTTGCTGATGATGCGATGATGGTGATGGGGATGGGGATGTGGATGGTGATGGTGATGTGTCGATGATGATGATGATGATGATGATGATGATGATGATGATGACGATGATGATGATGATGATGACGATGATGACGATGCTGATGACGATGCTGATGGCGATGCTGATGACGATGACGATGATGAGGGTGATGATGATGGTGGTGGCGATGGTGATTGCGATGACGATGACGATCATGATGACGATGATGATGATGATGGTGATGGCGGTCGTGATGCTGATGGTGATGATGGTGATGATGATGAGATGGTGAAAATGATGACGATGGTGATGGTGAGGGTGGTGATACTGGTGACGACGGTGATGATGGTGATGATGGTGATGATTGTCATGGTTATGTTGATGGTGATGCTGATTTTAATGATGCTGATGGTGATTGTGGTGGTGATGGTGACGATGATGGTGGTGATGGTGGTGGTGGTGGTGGTGATGGTGATAGTGATGGTGGTGGTGATGGTGATGGTGGTGGCGATGGTGGTGATGGTGATCGTGATGGTGGTGGTGATGGTGATTGTGATGCCGATGGTGACGGTGATGGTGGTGGTGATTGTGATGGTGATGTTGATTGTGATGGAGATGGTGATGGTGATGAGGATAACGAGGATGCTGATAGTGATGATGATGCTGATGATTACGGTGGGTTGATGATGATGATGACCATCATCATTATGGTGGTTGTGATGATGAATGATGATGGTGGTGATGACGACGATGGTGATGGTGAGGGGTGATGATGGTGATGATGATGATCATCATCAGGTTGCTGCTGATGACGATGATGATGATGATGATGTCGATGCTGCTGATTATCCTGATGATGATGGTGATGTTGATGATGATGCAGATGATGATGATGATGATGAGTGTGTTGATGATGATGATGAGGGTGATGATGATGATGGTGTTGATGATGCTGATGCTGATGATGCTGATGCTGATGATGATGATGATGATTATGATGATACTGACGACGACGATGATGACGACGATGACGATGACGATGACGGCGATCATGCGACTGTTGTTGCTGGTGATGATGTTTCAACTGCTGCTAATGATGATTGTGGTAGGGGGGATGATGCTCATGATGAGCTGACGATGGCGACAATGCTGATGATGATGCTGATGCTGCTGCTGCTACTGATAATGCTGATGCTGATGCTTATGATGCCGATGATGTCGATGATGATGATGATGATGACGATGATGATGATGTTGACGGCATGATGGCACGATGACATTATGTCATGGTGAAGCAGATGATATTAGTAGCGGTATTGCTGATGATGACGATGGCGATGGCGATGTTGTTGATGATGGTGATGTCGATGTTGCTGATGATGCCGATGTTGTTGATTATGACGATGCTGTTACTGGTGATGATAATGAGGATGATGATGCTGATGATGCTAATTATGCTGTTGATGATGATGATGATGATGATGACGGCATGATGGCACGATGACGCTGTGACATGGTGGAGCAGATGATAATAGTACCGGTATTGCTGATCATTATGACGATGGTGATGTTGATGTTGTTGATGATGATGACGATGGTGACGATGATGCTGATGTTGTTGCTGATGATGATGTTGCTGATGCTGATACCGGTAATGATAATGAGGATGATGATGCTGATGATGAGGTTGATAATGATGATAATGATGTTGACGATGACGATGATGATGATTATACTGATGATGATGTTGATAATGATGATGATGATGATGCTGCTGACGATGATGCAGATGGTGATGATGATCATGATGCTTTTCATGGTGATTTGGATGATGATGATGATGATGATGATGATGATGATGATGATGTTGCTGAGTATGCTGATGATGTTGTTGCTAATGCATGCTGATTATGATGTTGATGATGATGATGCTTATAATGAGGATGAGGATGAGGATGATGAGGATGCGGATGACAGTGATTATGATGATGACGATGATGCTGATGCTGAGTATAATGAGTATGATGATGATGATGATGATGATGATGATGATGATGATGCTGGTGCTGGTGCTGCTGATGGTGATGTTGATGCTGATGATGATGATGATGATGATGATGATGATGATGATGATGGCGATGGTGATGGTGATGATGATGATGATGATGATGATGATGATGATGATGATGATGATGATGATGATGATGATGATGATGATGAAGATGAAGATGATGATGATGATGATGATGATGATGATGATGATGATGATGATGATGATGATGATGATGATGATGATGATGATGATGATGACGATGATGGTGACATTGATAAGGAGGAGGAGGACGAACACATTGAGGGGCACACTGGGCACTAATTCTAGGGCCAGCAGCGGCGATAGTAAACCGAGGATCCAGGATACGAAGGAGGATGGCTGGGGGGGGGACCCAGGGAGGGAGGGAAGAGCGGGATGGACGGGTGGGACAGGCGGCGGAAGAGGCGGAGGAGGAGGAGGAGGAGGAGGAGGAGCAGGACACAGACGGTTTGGGCGGTTTGAGGTCTTGTATTACGTGTCTTGGGGCAGGTCAGATGTTCGCAGATGTTTACGGAGGAGGGGGATGGGGGATGAGGAGGAGGAGGAGGAGAAGGAGGGGGAGGAGGAAGAGGGGTGGGGAGGAGGAAGAGATGGCGATGCGGAGGAGGAGGAGGAAGACGAATATCCTGAGGATGTAAACGGGAACGAGGAGGGGGACGATGACGAGTAGGAGGAGGGGGGAAACATAGACAGTCCAGGATGCATCAGTGATGCTGCACAGCACCTTCCCGCCTTTGCGTCCATACAAGCTTTCCGTGGCACTATGGGAAGTGCCCGCATGACAGACGAGGGCCCCATGGGCCAGCCATTCAGGCGAGAGCCACGTTTGGACACATCGCCCCCCCATCCCGTTGCCAAAAGACAGGCAACTGATCATGATTCTAACGCCCAGGGAAGTGTCTAGAGAGGGGCCCCGCTTTGAAAGGAAAGGCCTCCACCTGTGTGGCTATTGCGCTTTTGCCGTGCTCCATCGTAACACTCAGGACGCACCACGCAAGCGCGTTGCATGTTGAAACTTGACTGCCCTCTATTCGTGGAAC